GTAAATATATCTTGCTTTAGCCTACCAAAGTAAAACACCCATCCAATCCTAAAATATACACCGGTTATATATCTGCTTTTTTTGATACCGAAAAAGTTTTTATGAATAATTTTTAATGTGTCCACCCCAAACAGGTTCCATGTATAAATCAGAATATTCTGGCTACTGTTGCTTCCACATTTTGCAAATTACTTGAAATTCGCATTGAAACATTATCTAATCACGTCGTCAACATTTCAAACACAGTTTATTTGACTTGCTAAACAACTCGGAACAATGATATTTAGAATTTATAGACGAAATTGCTTGTTTTTATTCAAAGTCTCGAGATTCTCGGATTGAATATAAATTTGATCAATTTAAAAATTTTATCGTTAAATGTCTTTAAGAAGCACATGGAAGATTAGAAATATGTTATATTTTTATCATCAGTTTTTTTGAAATTCAGTTTTTAAGTATTTTCATGAATACCTTTAAGGCTAGCTTCTTGGTAGAGGAACAAAGGAGTTTTAGGTTGACTTAGTTCGATATTTTCCGAAGAAGCTAGCCGATAATATAGCCAGTAAAAAACTTGTTCTATGTGTTCTCATCTTTTCAATGACCAGAGGCGTTGGCAAGGAAAGCCTTAAGGAGAGAATACATTAAACGCTTTTTATACCCTCCACCATAGTATGGAGGGTGGGGGGGGGGAATATAAACTTTGTCATTCCGTTTGTAAAATCTCGAAATACACATTTTAGACCCCACAAAGTATATATATTTTTGATCAGCATAAATTTCTATGTTGATCTAGCGATGTCCGTCCGTCTGTGGAAATCACTCTATCTTCCGAACGAATTAAAGTAGATTGATAAAATTTTGCTAAAATGTATGTTATGTCTGCAGGACTTTTGGTAAAATCGGCCATGTAGGTCTACGTTTTGGTATAGCCCCCATATAACTGTATCTCCCGATATTCGGTATTTTGATGATTTTAGCGATATTTTTCACCGGAATAGTTTCAAATTTGGTATTTGAAGTTCACAATGAATACTACAGCCTAAAACAGAAAATTGTATGTGCAGATCCACGTCTTCGTATAGCCCCCATATAACGGTACATTCACAATGAATACTACAGCCTAAAACAGAAAATTGTATGTGCAGATCCACGTCTTCGTATAGCCCCCATATAACTGTACCTCCCGATATTCGGTGTTTTGATGATTTAAGCGAATTCATTCACCGGATTTGTTTCAAATTTGGTATTTAAAGTTCGTAATGGATACTATAGCCTACGACAGAAAATTGTCTGTGTAGGTCCACGTCTTCGTATAGGCCCCATATAACGGTACCTCCCGATATTCGGTAATTTTATTTTATCGACATTATAACCGATTTGTTTTTAAGTTTCGCATTTGAATATTGTAATGGCTTATGACAAATGTTACCTACGCAGGTTCATGTCGTCATATAGACCCTAATATAATAGCTACATTCGGTATTTTTAAAATTTTAACAGAATTTTTAACGGATTTTATTGTTTTTGAGAATTGTCAAATTCGTCCCAAATGGTAGAAGGTATTCAAAGTTCGGCCCGGCCGATCTTACAGCTTTTTTACTTGTTTGGACTGGCTTTTCTCTTTTACGAAGACTTAAGCCAACCAAAAACCCGTGTTAAGTACTCTCACATTTAGTTTTTTCGTGTGCAGAAATATATGGTTCATTTGAAACTTATAAATGTTCAGAATTGTTGATATTGCAATTCTTATGATATTTTTTTATCAGAAACATCAGCTCACCATAAGCTTTTCAAAGAGATCGTCAAACGTTTGAATTTTTTATGCGTCCCCATTGGGCGTTTATTAACGTGAAATTTTTTTATAAACTTTCTTTTGATTGAAAGATTGGAACCATGAACTTGCCGGAGTTAAAATATTCATGGCACAATATTTTCAAAATATTTATATGGCCATCTTGTCAAAAGGGTCAGTCAATGTTGCACTTATAAATTTTGATCACGTTCAGATGCAGTGCCGTTCTTTTGCATTCTTTTTCGTCGTATCAAGTTACGGTAACGTTGGAGTTTTGGTTTTATATAAAGTGTTAAAGGGGATGCAAATTGGGTTGACTAAATAATAAATCATGCGAGGCGTATCTGGGTATAAGCATGACTCAATAACAAGTCAAAAAGCTGTAAGTTCGGCCGGGACGAACTTTGAATACCCTCCACCATTTGTTACAAATTTGGCAATATTCAAAAAATAAAATGCGTTAAAAATTTTGTTAAAATCTTAAAAATACCGAATGCAGCCGTATATTAGGGTCTATACGACGACGTAGATAGACAATCTATTACAATATTCAAATGCGAACAAATTTACCATGGGGGTTATAAAACGTGGACCTGCACAGAAAATTTTCTGTCTTAGGCTGTGGTATCACTTCGGTAATTAAGATCGCTAAAATCATCAAAATACCGAATATCGGGGGTTGCGTTATATGGGAGCTATACGAAGACGTGGAAATGGGCCATGTATGTCTACGTTTTGGTATAGTCCCTATATAACGGATTTTTTTAAGTTTCGTCATATAGACCCTAATATACGGCTACTTTCGGTATTTTTAGGATTTTAACAAAATTTTTAACGGATTTTATTTATTTGAAAATTGCCAAATTCGTTCCAAACGGCGGAGGGTATTCAAAGTTCGGCTAGGCCGAACATACAGCTTTTTTATTTTAAAATGAATATTATTGAAATAATTTGCAAATATATCTCCGAATTGTCTGATCAGAATATTATTTTTTACAAAGTTGTTTTGAAAACAGAAAATTTAAAATTAAAAGATAAGAAATTATTTCTCACTGTGTAAAGAGAGACAAAAAAACACTTGCAATATTTTTTTTATTTCAAAACACATACAATCACAAAAATTTTTTGAGGCTCTCTGCCTTGCCCTGAATTAAAGGGTAAGGTATAGCTAACAGCTGATTACAATTTTTTTCTAAGTGTGTCCGACTTCTGTCAATTTTGTGTATGTATTTATTGTTTTGGAAAATAAAAAAAAAATATTTTCACAACCAATGATTGGAAGACACGTGTATATAAATGTTCGATTTCCTTCAAAATTTTGCAACAGAATTGACCATGGCCGGTGTCTATTTATGTGGAGGTCTTGAGGAGTAGAACAGCTCTGGTAAATCATGATCTCAGTGTGCATTCGGACATCCATAATAATAATCCCCCCGTTATCTCTCTGCGTTATTTTGGCCCATTCCCGGCGAAGCGCTTGCTTGAGGTGATCGACACTTTAGTGTTAAACTGGCTTTCAAAAATGGATTAATATCCGGATATTGTGCGCTGGAAATGAAGCGAGGAACCTCACATTGTAACCATTCTTGGATACCGCGTGCTAAGTGCGATGGTGCTGAGTCCTGTTGGAATGTCCAAGGTCTGCGACCAAAATGTTTGCGTGCCCAAGGCTTTAATACACCCTCCAGAATATTTTCGCGATAATATTCTGATGCCACGGTCGATTAATACGAGCGGAGAGCGACCATCTGCTGTTATAGCGGCCGACACCATCACCATGGCCAGCGCTTGAGTTCTGGTGGCCAACCGAAGGTCCACATTTTCAGCTGACCTCTTTGGCAAGTAAACACGAATATTTTGTTTGTTTACAAACTGTTGGACAACGAATGTTTTCTCATCGGAGAAAACCAAATTCGGCAGTTTACCACTTTCAGCCAAGCGAAGCAACTCTTTAGTTCTTTTGAGTCTATTTTCTTTCTGTTGGGGTGTAAGTTCTTGCACTTTTGGAATGTCAATGGCTTTACCCCGAGCTCATTTTTCAATATTTGCCGAGAATATTGCGGTATGTTAAGCTCACGAGCCATTTTTCGGCCACTTCGACACGGGTTTCAAGGCTATCAAGTAGCTTCTTTACATCCATCCACTTCCTTGACGTCGGGCTACGCTGCCAGTATCACGGTAAAGAGGGATTGTACGAGACACAAAAAAATTATTCACATTTAAATGGTGGAGTGATCTTATGCTAGCCACTTGTGGTTTTCTGCCAAATATAAAGAAATCACACTATCACGCTTTATTTCCATCCGGAATAACTTTTTACTGGAAAATGCTCACCAAAATGCTTTTGTACGCATGTAAACAATTGTTTCAAATTGTTTCAAATTTGGTATTTGAAGTTCGTAATGGATATTACAGCCTACGACAGAAAATTGTCTGTGCGGGTCCACGTCTTCGTATAGCCCCCATATAATGGTACCTCCCGATATTCGATATTTTGATGATTTTATCGAAATTATTCACCGGAATTGTTTCAAATTTGGTATTTGAGCTTCGTAATGGATATTACAGCCTAAGACAGAAAATTGTCTGTGCGGGTCGACCTCTTCGCCCCCATATAAAGGTACCTCCCGATATTCGGTATTTTGGTGATTTTAGCTACATTATTACCGATTTTTTGAAGTTTCGCATTTGAGAAGTGTAATGGTTTATGACAAATGTTACCTATGCAGTTCCATGTCGTCGTATAGACTCTAATATAACAGGTACATTCGGCATTTTTATGATATTAACAGAATTTTGAAAGGATTTTATTGTTTTTGAGAATTGCCAAATTCGTTCCGAATGGTGGAGGGTATTCAAAGTTCGGCCATCTTCTTTTTTACTTGTTAGTACTTCCAGTACACTTATAGTTCGAACATCTATACTAAACCCTTCAACAACTCCCATTCAGAATTAAGTTCATGGAGTGGTTTCAATTCTTGGTACCTTTTAGTACCTAGTCTCACCCCTTGGCACCAACCATAGATCTTCATGTAAATTTTAAGATTCTCGCTTTAGCCCTTTCGCCTGCGTTGATGAGTGTCTAATCTCTTTTATGTATAGATATTTTTCCTAGTTTGCCAACGTGGATATCGAATTCAGAACCTGCTGGTTTGATGTCGGCCGCACAGTGCGGGGAATTCGTTAAGATTTTATAACAATTGCAAAATCCAAATAAAAATATTTGAAAAGGGCCAGAGACCACTCTCCAATTTCTTTATTTTTAACAAATTCATCAGCATTTAAAAAAGGTCAAACCAACAATTTTATTTCAAGCTTTTGAAAATTTTTGTTGTGTCCAATTTCGGATTTGCCTTCTTGCTATAGCCAGCCAACAATTGTTTTAATTTGGCAATAGCTTTAGCTGGATTAAGACCCTTTGGACAGGTGTTGGTACAATTCATAATGGTATGGCATCGATATATTTTATATGGATCCCGCAAATTGTTAAGACGTTCTGCGGTAGCTTCATCACGTGAATCGATAATCCAACGATAGGCTTGCATTAGAACGGCTGGTCCCAGATAGCGGTCACTGTTCCACCAATACGAAGGACAGGATGCCTGGCAACAACAACACAAAATACACTCATACAAACCATCCAAGACATCACGATCTGCCGGATGTTGCAAATACTGAGCTGTTCCCGTTTCCTCCTTAGCCTTGCAACAGCGCTGCAACCATGGTTGTATGGAACGATACTGTTCGTAGAATTGTGAAAGATCTGGCACCAAATCACGTACCACATACATGTGGGGCAAGGGATAAATGCGCAAGGGCTTGGAGAGATTTTTATCAATTTTACAGGTGCATGCCAGCGTATTGATGCCACCAATGTTCATGGCACACGAACCACAGATACCCTCACGACACGAACGACGAAAAGTCAAAGTTTGATCCATTTCATTTTTAATTTTGATTAGAATATCCAAAACCATTGGACCACATTTGGTCAAATCAATTTTATAGGTTTGCAAACTGGCCTTTTCTCCCGGCTTCCAACGATATATTTGTACGGTTTTGATTTGTGGGCTTTTGGGCTTGATAACAGGTGCAACGGTTAAAGATTTTATTTCTTCCTTTGGCTTTGTTGGCTCCTTTGGTGCTAAGGATTTTGGAGGGGGATTTTCGGTACATTTTTTATTCGCAGCATCACTCATAGACCGCATGGGCAACGGTTTTCCATTTAGATACCATTGCTTCCAAATTGTGGAGACATTGTTAGATCGCATTATGAGAATATTTCTGGGATTATTTATTTCAAAATGTAATGAAAATTGATTTTCGTTTGTTTTTAGTCCACTCAAAGAAATATAAAAAAGTAAAGTAATTCGAAAGTCTGCTGTAAAAGTAAGTAATTCGAAATATTTCAGCTGTAATTTCGAGTCCCTGGCTCATTTGGGAATGGGTACATATCATATTAGGCATATCTTGGACTTTTTTTTAAATTTTGACCAGTTTCAGGAAGGTATCAAAGCGTGGATCCTTTTTTGGAAATTTAAAGCAGTTGCGGGCGAAAATATGGACCCTTTTTGGAAATTTTAAGCAGTTGCGGGCGAAAATATGGACCCTATACAAAAATTTTAAGTAATTCCGGGAGAGGTACAAAAATGTAGACCTAGGCAATAAATGGTCAATTATTGAACATTTTGAGCAGTTTTGGGGAAGATCCAAAACCTTTTAGGAAATGTTGACCAGTTCTGGATGAACATAACGAGACTTGTTTGGGCCATTTCGAGTAATTCCGAGGGAGGTACAAAAACGTTGAGCTACAAAAACACTTCTGCTGAAAGTATGAAAAGTGGAAAATAGAAGACCGTTTCTGGAAATATTGTCCATTTCCGGGAGAGGTACGAAAAGTGGACCCATAAAGCACTCTTTTGGACACTTTGAACAGTTCTGATCGCACTTCGAAAACGTGGACGTAGATGACCAATGGACCATTTTTTATACCCTCCACCATACATAGTTTGTAACTCATCGAACTAATAATTTTAGACATAACAAAGTATTTATATTCTTGATCTGCGTAAAATTCTAAAACGATTTAGCCATTCGTCCTTCCGTCCGTCTGTTATAATTACGCTAGAGTCAAAACGAATAAAGATAAAAAGCTAAAATTTTGCACATACCAGTATTTTGTCTGCAGGCAGGTCAAGTTCGAAGATCGGCTATGTCGATCCACTATATCTTATAGCCCCCATATAACGATACAGCCGATATTCGGTATTTTAATTATTGTAGCCAAATTTTTCAATGTAATTGTCTTAAAATCCACAAAAGAAGTTCCTTTTGAGTACTTTGCCACCTGGAAGTGAATTGTCTATATGGGTCCACCATATCGTACAGCCCCCAAATAACAGTACCCTCGATATTCGGTATTTTGATGACATTTTGACGACATTCTTACCGGAATTGTTTAAAATTTCGTATTTAAAGTTCGTAATGGGTATTGCAGCCTATAACAAAAAATTGTGTATACAGGTCCAGATCTTCGTATAGGCCCCATATATCAGTACCTTCCGATATTCGGTATTTTGATGATTTTAGGTAAAATATTCACCGAAATTCCTTGAAGTTTCCCACTTGAAGTTTCTAATAGGTACTACAGTATGTAATAGAAAGTTGTCTATGCAGGTCCAGGTCTTCACGTATCCCCGATATAACAGTATTTATTATTATTATTATTATTCGGTATTTTTATGATTTTAGCTACATTATTCACCGGATTTTTTTCAAGTTTCGTGTTTGAATATTGTAAAGGCTTATGATAAATGTTGTCTATGCAGGTCCACGTCTTCGTATAGACCCCATTATAACAGCTATATTCGGTATTTTTAAGTTGTTAAGTTTTTAACAGAATCTGTAACGGATGTTATTTATTTACTTTTTTTGAAAATTTTAAAATTCTTTCCAAATGGTGGAGGGCATTCAAAGTTCGGCCCGACCGAACTTACTGCTTTTTTAATTCTTTATCTACAAAAACATTTCTGCTGGAGGTACAAAAAGTGGACCGTATCTTGAAATTTTGACGATTTCCGGCAGAGGTACGAAAAGTGGACCCATAAAGGCTCTTATTAGACATTTTGAGCAGTTCTAGGCGCACTACGAAAACGTGGACGTAGGTGACCAACGGACTCTTTTTTAATATGTTGAACATTGTCGGGAGAGGAGCGAATTGCCCTAAGGCCCTAAGATTTATATAGTACTAGTAGGTACGAAAACATGGATCTAGATCGAAGACCTCTGGACTCTTTTTATTTTTTTTTTTTTTTTGAAAATTTTAACTAGTTCCAGGGGAAATGGAAAACCATGGACCTATACAAATTTTAACCAGTTCCGGAAACGTTCACCTCTGAACTACCCCGGTTAAATGGACCCTTTTTTGGAATTTTTGACGAGTGCCGAGGAAGATGCAAAATCATGGACCTATCCTCTTTTTACAAATTTTAACCAGTTCCGGAAACATTCATCTCTGAACCACCCCGGTAATGCGGACCCATTTTGGACCTTTTGAGCCGACCAGATTACTATAAAAACAAGCCTTACCCAAAATCTCGTTTCTGTAGTGGTGTACCCAAGCCAAAGGTTCGTATCTTCGATTTGGGCAGAAAGAAGGCTGGCGTAGAAGACCTCCTCTTGTGCGTGCAATTGGTGTTCGATGAATATGAACAGCTCTCATCCGAAGCCCTGGAAGCAGGCAGTATTTGCTGCAACAAATACTTGGTGAAATTCTGTGGTAAGGATCAACTCCACATCTGCATGCGTTTGCATCCATTCCATGTTATTTGCATCTTAAGAAGTTCTGGAAGAGGTTCGAAAACGTTGACCTAGTTAACGCATGGACCTTTTGTGAACCAATCCCGGCGAAGGTACGCACGCATACGCCGGGTCTGTAGGACATTATGTACATATGGACATTTTCACCATTCTCTTGGAGATACGAATGGCTCTAGTTCCGCGAGACCAATGCCGAGGAAAACAATGAAAACCTAGGTGACCTATGAACCACTTTTTGGAAATTTTGTTCGGTTCCAAGAGAGACGCAAAAACTTGGTCCCTTTTTAAAAAATTTGACTAGTTCCGGGAAAAGTTAACTTTTGGAAAAATCTACCAGTTCCTGGGTAGACATGAAAACATGAATCCTTATTTTATCCAATAAAAACTGGTAATGTCAATATTTATTTTGATTGTGGATCGGACAGGACCCTTTTACCAAAAACCCTGTATATAACACCAAAATCTATGCAAATCGCTATTTTAAACAATTAATGCCCACCACAAAAAGGTATAATCTGTTAAATAAAAAACTTTATTACAAAATGAATAGAACTACCATCTTGTGGTGGGAGAGTATAAAATAAAATGTTCTGTTCCAGAACCTGCAGGAATCTACAACTTTTACCTTTTTTCGGTATCACAAAGGGAAAATCGGTTATTGCAATAAAAACTTTTAAGTTCCTGAATTTCTGGATCAGGCCAAATATTGTTAAATTTATTTGCCTTACGACCATTCTGATAAAAATTGCAGTTTTCAAACAAATAATTTTTAATTAATAGATATAAAACATATTTATTAAATAAATAAAAAAAGCTATATCAAGTTACTAAATAAAAATTACTTTTAATCCTCCTCCTCAATATCGGCCTCTGCCTCTATTTCCTCTGCGGGAGCCACCACTTTAGTCATCATCAAATCAATATCTGAAGGTGGCCTCGAACCGATATCCATAGTTTGCAAAAGATCAGCATACATTTCGAAACCCCAATTACATTCACCCAATAGGTCTTCGTGGCGCAACATCTCATACCAGTAGAAGCGTTGCGTATTACCACCCAAAGATTTATTAATATTTTTCCGGCGTTCTTCGCCACGATGCAAAAAATCGGCATAATCCATTTGCTGGAATTCCTCTAGATCATCTAATATTCTATTGATTTCCATTTCATTGTCTTCATAAGATTCGACTTGCTGTAGAACGGCATCCACCGATGTCTGGATCATGTCGCTGCGTTGTAAATCGGGAATTTCTTGGGGAAATATACGCAAACGCACCGCAGCAATTTCATCGTCGATGCGTGCCAAAACTTCTGCTAACGATTCTTTTTTCGCAGCCTCATAAGCCAAACGTTCTTTTTCCAAAACTGTTTCCTGTTGCAATTGTTTTTCGTTGACACGCTTGCGGGTCATAAGAATATTCATTAAGCGTTTCAGATTCAATTCATACCATTGTTGTCGCATGCGTTCCGTGTACGTCAAATGGGCCGGAGGTGCTGCATTTCTAAAGGGAAATTGAGAGTTAAGTACGTAAAATTAATAATAAAAAAAAACAAGTAAAAGAGAAGAAAGTTCTGCCAGGAAGAAATTTGTAAATTTTCAAAAATATCTGTTGAAAAATACTGCTAAAATTATAAAAATATGGAATATTTCCCTATATTTTTTGCTGGGTAACAGCAAATTTGGGGGAAGACTGTTAACGAATGGATACACATGCCCATCGTTACATGAAAAGTATAGAAATACATTTAGGGATTAGGTCTTAGAATAGAGCTTGAATACTTAAATTTTATATGGAGGCCACCGTTGGTATGTAATTTAGAGAAGGAGGTGGATTTACGATGACTGTTCGAAAAGTACTGAATGGTACTTAATTTGACTCCTGAAATTTGGTATTGAGGTCACTGATGTAAATGTACACGTGATATATATATACCCTCCACCATAGTATAAAGGGTATATTAGATTGTCATTCCGTTTGTAACACCTCGAAATACACATTTTAGACCGCACAAAGTCCATCTGTGGAAATCACTCTAGCTTCCGAACGAATTGAAGTAGATTGATAAAATTTTGCTCTAATGTATGTTATGTCTGCAGGACACTTGGTATTGAAAATGGGCCATGTAGGTTCACGTTTTGGTATAGCAAATTTGGCATTTGAAATTCTTAATGGATACTACAGCCTAAGACAGAAAATTGTCTGTGCAGGTCGACCTCTTCGTAAAGCCCCTATTTAACTGCAGCTTCCGATATTCGGTATTTAAATGATTTTATGGACATTTTTCACCAGAATTGTTTCAAATTTGGTATTTGAAGTTCGTAATGAATACTACAGCCTATGACAGAAAATTGTCTGTGCAGGCCCACGTCTTCGTAGAGCCCCCATATGGCGGTACGTCCCTATATTCGGTATTTTGATGATTTTAGCCAATTTATTTGCCGGAATCGTTTCAAATTTAGTATTTAAAGTTTGTAATGGATACTACAGCCTACGACAGAAAATTGTCTGTACAGGTCCACGTCTTCGTAAAGCCCCCATATAACGGTACCTCCCGATATTCGGTATTTTAATGATTTTAGGGAAATTTTTCACCAGAATTATTTCAAATTTGATATTTGAAGTTCGTAATGGATACTACAACCTAGGACAGAAAATTGTCTGTGCAGGTCCACCTCTTCGTAAAGCCCCCACATAACGGTACCTCCCGATATTCGGTATTTTGATATTATCGACATTATAGCCGATTTTTTTAAGTTCCGCATTTCAATATTGTAATAGCTTATGACAAATGTTACCTACGCAGGTTCATGTCGTCGTATAGACCCTAATATAATAGCTACATTCGGTATTTTTAAGATTTTAACAGAATGGGGGAGGGTATTCAAAGTTCGGACCGGCCGAACCTACTGCTTTTTTTACATGTTCCATTTCATATTTCGTTAATTTCACCAGCGATACTTACCGTTTAGCTTCTTCCTCCTCCTTGGCCTTCCTCACAGCCTGCAGGACTTTTTCTTTTTCTTGGCGCTCCATTTCTTTGTGAGCATCTCGTTCAGCTTGACGTTTTGCTTCAATAACTTCTTTATTACGTTCATAATACTGTTGTTCCCACACTTGTATGGCCTTCTTACGGGACTCCTCACCGAGGATATACGATTTCATATCCTTAAAATATATAAAAAATAATATTTATTAGACTTTGAGGATAATACGTTAAATACCTCCAATTCCTGAGCAGTGAAATGATAAAAACTTCGAGGCAATTTCACCATACGCAAGCTACTATTGTAATCTCCGATGCCCAGCAGTTTGTCAGGTTCCTCGGGTCTGTGTTCGCAGATTTGCGTTACAATACCACCTCCCAGGACATCATTCAGACACGCGTCATCATCTCGGGCTATGTGCAATGAAAATACATGTTTTCGGTGAATTTTGAAAGGATTAGAGAAGCTTACCCAAAATATCCCATGCCTCTAGGCTACCATCGATGCGGGTTAAAAATAGCACCGACGGCCGTGATTCACTCCATGTAACAGCTGTCAAATCATTTTGACATCTACGCCAAAATATCGGCGAATAGTTGTAGTCTTCCTTCCAAACGGCAAACACATTGCGACCAATGGAAACAAACAGCCAAGGAAAGAATGGATTCCTTTTCATGGAAATAACCGGGCCATCATGCACCCGGGCGAAATGTTCCGATGTACTAACAACCTCCCTGCCTTCGGTGTCAGCATACATTCCCAACCATGAAATGCGTTCGATGCGCCCATAAAATGAGGAAACTATAAAAGATTGGCGAACTTCGGTTGGATCTTTGGACAATAGTTCCACATGATAATTGTAAAGGGTATTATTGTCCCCCCTGGGCACATCCTTGCGAGAACATTTAAAACTGGGTGTATCAGCCACAAATGCAGTCAATGGTTCATTAAAGGCCACTATGAATACCGGTACCAATACCTTGCCCTTATAACTGGACTCACTTTGACCCAGAGCTTTGGGTAAATCTCTGCGCACCGAAGAACTTACTTTTTTACCCAACTGTGAGTCTAAATTCCAAAAAGCCACAGTACCATCCAGCGAACATGTCAAGAAAAACCGATGATTAGTTTTGGAACTTGTTTCCATGCTGAGTTTTCCAAAGGTATTCACCGAACACCGTCTACCCAACCATTGTATAACAGTTATCTGGGCTTTTTGTGACTTATCGACACCAGATAGTGTAGCTGGAAATATTATCATATCTTCATTGATTTGTATGGTCCATTTGAGGAATTCATTAATGAGAACACGATAACGAACTTGTGAGGAGGACAACATTTCGGTGTAATCTAAACGTTCGGCACGATTTTGTAGATCCCATAGTATAACTTGGCCATTGCTGGCACCACCAATTAGAATATTAGCATCGTAGGGGCAAAAAGAGAGGGCGGTTATTTCCAGCGGAGATTCGAATTCTAACTTATAGTTTAGATTGTCATCGAAACTCCACAACAGTATGGGATTGGGCTGTAGCACCGTACGTTGTATGGTATCAATTTTTGCACCGACTGAAAATTATAAATTATAAAGGAGGCACTTAAAGTATGTTTCAGGAACCTCTAATTGCTAGTAAATAGATCATGAGGTATTGAATCAAATTAATATCAGATTATATAAAGATAAAGTGATTTTTCCAGAATTTGTAATTTTGAGTTTAAAAATTCTAGGGAGTACCTAAAAGTATGCAATCATTATGCTTAAAATAAATATGGAAAAAGTCTTGTGATATGTAATCGGACCTTAAAGCTGCTATCAGGCGGTAAGGGTTTTACATATGTAGTGTCAAATTTTCCATATACAGAAATTGCACACATCGTGTAATACATGGACGAAATTTTATTTGAGAATTACATGAGTACTTTTTCGATCACAGCGATCCCTATTTTCCAAATAAAATGAAAAAACTGCAACCAACTTCAGACTGCTGTCATTTCTAAGCCACTCGTCCGACAGCTGTTAAAATTATTCCAGTGACAGAAAAAAAAAGTTATTCGTGAAGGAATTCAAGCGTGATAGCGTGATTTCTTTATAGTTGGCTGGAAAACTTCAGCATTTAAACGTGAATAAATCTTTTGTGTCTCGTACCATCGCTCGTTACCGTGATGGTAGTGTTGCCAGACTTCAAGGAAGTGGACGGAAGAAAACAGCAACATCAGCAGAAATGCTTCGAAAAATAAAAAAAACGACTTGATCGAGACCCGCGTCGCAGTAGCCGAAAAATGAAAATATTGCACTATTCCATTCGGCAAATATTGAAAAATGAGCTCGGGGTAAAGCCATTGAAATTTCAAAAAGTGCAAGAACTTACAAAATATACTCAAACGATCGAAAGAGTTGCTCCGCTTGGCCGAAAGTGGGGAATATGGTTTTTTCCGATAAGAAAACATTTGTTGTCCAGCAGGTTGTGAACAAACAAAATGATTGCGTTTACTTGCCAAAGATGTCAGCTGAAAATGTGCACATTCGGCTGGCCACCAGAACTCAAGCGCCGGTCCTGGCGATAGTGTGGTCCGCCATAAAAGCCAATGGTTGCTCTCAGCTCGTATTAATCGACCGTAGCATCAGAATAAAAGCCAAATATTATCGCGAAAATATTCTGGAGGGTTAAAGCCCTGGGCGCGCAAACATTTTGGCCGCAGACCTTGGACATTCCAACAGGACTCAGCAAAATCGCACTCAGCACGCGCTACCTAAGAATGGTTAAAGAATGAGGTTCCTCGCTTCATTTCCAGCTCACAATGGTTACCAAAATCTCCGGATACCAATCCGTTGGACTAATGTGTCTGGAGTATTTTGGAAAGCAAGGTTGGCACTAAAAAATACCTACGTGTCGATCACCTCAAGCAAGCGCTTCGCCGGGAATGTGGCAAAATACCGTGCCATTTGAAGGCCATAATTTTTTCTCAAGCGTTGATAGATCTACCTGTATTCTCCTATCATGGTTCTTTTCGACCACAGCGACCCCTATTTTCATTATAACAAATAAAAAAGCAGTCAATTAGGCCGGGCCGAACTTTGAATACACTCTACCATTTGGAACGTATTTAGATATTCTTAAAAAAACATATCTTAAAAATAACGAATATAGCCGTTATATTGGAGTCTATACGAAGACGTGGACCGCCCATGCAGGTCATTTTTGTCCTTTTGCCATAAGCCATTACAATATTCAAATACGAAACCTTTAAAATGTCGCTAAAATCATCAAAATACCGAATATAGGAAGGTGCTGATATCTGGGGCCTCTACGAATACCATAGATAGACAATTTTCGGCCATAGGTTGTAGTTGCCATTACGAACTGCAAATACCAAATTTGAAACAATTCCGTTGAATAATGTCGCTAAAATCATCAAAATACCTAATATCTGGAGGAACCTATATATGGGGGCTATACGAAGACGTGGACCTGCACAGACACATTTTTATCTTAGGCTGTAGTATCCATTGCGAACCTCAAATACCAAATTTGAAACAATTCCGGTGAATAACGTCGATAAAATCATCAAAATACCGAATATCGAGAGGTGCTATACCAAAACGTGGACCTTCATGGCCAAGTTTTGAGTAAAATTTTATCAATCTACTTCAATTCGTTCGGAAGCTAGAGTGATTTCCACGAACAGAAGGACGGGCATCGCTATATCGACATAGAATTTTATGCTGACAAAGAATATATATACTTTGTGGGGGCTAAAATGTGTATTTCGAGGTATGATGGAGGTTATGAAAAACAAGTGTGTGATAGCTAGAGTTTTTGGTCACATGTAAAATGGTAATTTTGACATAAACACGGAAAACACGAGGATAACAAAAGTGACAGCACATATGTAAATCCCATATCGTCTGATAGCAGCCTTAATAACTTAAATCTTACCCGATTCCACTGTAGCCGCTGTACTGAATGTGTACGAAGTCACTATCAGACCAGCTATTGTCGGATACCAATCATAGCCGCAAACATATCGTTTTTGACTTTTCGAGATATTGGCAAAGCATAGAGTCTCCTCTAGACTCGGTGTGGTGTGATGCATGATACAGGTGTTGGAAATCAATGGATAATCATTTCTGAAATTCAAAGAAGAAGGGCAGAGGTTATGCGTTTTTCTTTCTTTTTACAAAAAGTTGTTCGAAATTAAGAAACCCGATATATGAGATACGATACGGAACAATTTTAAAAGCTGAGTTTCCGAGAGGTTGCAAATTCTTACTGGAAAATTGTACTTAGTAAGAATTAGCTTTGTCTGATTACTTTTCCGGCAGGAAGAATGTCAATGCAAAAACTTGCAACCAATTAAGTGATTTAGCAAAACAAAACTATTTATATAAGCATATGAAGCACACAACAATTACTTTTATACCCTCTACCATGGTATGGAGGGTATATTAAGTTTGTCATTCCATTTGGAACACCTCGAAATATACATTGTAGACCTCACAAACTAGTATATATTTATTTTTCATCAGCATAAAATTCTATGTCGACTTAGCGATGTCCATCCGTCTGTCCGTCTGTGAAAATTACTCTAGCTTCCAAACGAAATGAAGTATGTAGGTTGATAAAATTTTGGTATTTGCTTAATTCTCCAAAATTTACGATAATATTTTTATCAACATATTATTCTGGTCCTTGTGTATATTGTTCAGAATCGTTTGTTCACTTTCCTGCCGATAGCAATTAAACAAAATACCGGATATCGGGTTGTACAATAATATAGGGCCTGTACTGCCAAAGTCACCATGTAAGCTTTAATCTTTTTTAGCCTTTAGGCTTGCAATTTCCAAAATAGACATGTTTTATAATTGTTTGCCCAAATATAAAGCAATGGAAGGAGAAGAAGAAGAATTGCAAGTGATTGCAAAAATAAATTTCTCCAGCAAGAAACTGCAAAATCTCATTAAAAGAACTGTCAAAATGTCTCTTTCGCGGCGCTCTCTTGCAGAAATTTTGTGTTAATAAACGACTTCCAGTGATAAATTGCAAATTGGGTATTCAGACACATCTAATATCTAGTGTCATCTGTTGATTCAAAATCTGTGAAAATGCTTAAAAATTTTAAGTAATAATTTTAATATTTTAATTATTCCAGTTAGTAAGCAGTGTACTTAAAATTAGTCAATAACTTGTCCCGTTAAAATTAGTCAATAACTTGTTCTGAGAGAATTTTCTCTTCCACTTAAATAAAAAACAGTAATTGAGTTTATAAAATTCAATAAACTCCAGCAATGAACAAAATTGCAATTTTTACTATCTCAAAATAATTAAAATAATTCAATTATTGCGTGAAAATGTAAAAAAAAAAAAAAAAAAACAGAAATCAGAGATGGGAACCTGTTTTGTATTCAGTAAAATATGAAAAGGTAAATTATAGAAAGATGTTGAGTTTTATTTGAAATGACTTTACCTTGTCAATTTTACCATAAGCACAACTGTCAAAATTGGTCATTTGACTCGCCCTCATTTACTTGAATTTTGGGTATTCTAATAACATATTAGGAGTGTTCGTTAACTAGATAATTTGTACAAAATTTTACTGGAAGCTGTCCTTTTATCCAAAAGTCCAGCAAGTGGAAGAGACATTTTGAAATTTAACAAGTAAAAACCATTAAGTTCGGCCTGGCCGAACTTTGAATACCTTCCACCATTTGGAACGAATTTGAAGATTTTCAAAACAATAAAAAGCGTTAAAAATTCTTTTAAAATCCTCAAATTACCGAATATAGCCGTTATATTTGGGGTCTATACGAAGACGTGGACCTGCATATGCAACTTTTATCATATCCATGGTACAATGAATTCAAGATAGGGCAGAACTACCATATGATTTCAATTTTTTTATTTTCTTGACTTAATATGTCATCTTTATTTGTTTATGTATGTGTTTTCTTTTCAATAACAAAAAAATTGTTTAGAAAATATTCAAATTCGGGTGTTTTCAAAATGTTTATTTCAACGTATGCATCGACAAAATCTAGAGTTTTTGTAGCGAAATAATCCTTTAGAGATAAAAGAAGTTCTAACCTTTCATTCCATTATCGCTTTGTTTGATTTTTTATTGTTTTGATACTAATTCTGACATTACAAGCCAAACAGGTAGACCTCTATACTTGCAATTTTTTCAAAGTTGACCTACCTTCTCTTCATTGTACCATGATCATATCTATATGAAACTTGAAAAAAAAATCATGAAAAATACCTAATATAGGGAGGTGCCGTTATATACGAAGGCCTGGACATGCATATATAATTTTCTGTCACAGGCTGTGGTACCTATAAGGAACCTCAAATACGACATTTCAAACAATTTCGGTGAATAAAATCACTAAAATACCGAATATAGGGAGTTACCGCTATAACGGGGCTATACGAAGACCTGGACCTGCGTAGACAATTTCCCGTCGCATGCTGTAGCACCTATTAGGAACTTCAAATACGAAATTTCAAAAAAACAATTTCGGTGAATATTGTACCTAAAATCGTCAAAATACTGAATATAGAGAGGTACTGATATATGAGGCCTATACCAAGACCTGGATCTGCATGGACAATTTTCTGTCATAGACTGTAGTTCCCATTACGAATTCTAAATACGAAACTCCGTTGAATAATGTCCCTAAAGTCCTCAAAATAAATCGTCAAAAATAGGAAGGTACCGTTTTATGTTTGATATACGATATCGAGGACCTATGTAGACAACACTCTTTCAGGGCTGTAAAGTACTCAGAAGGAAAAATACGGCTACAATCATCAAAATACCGAATATCGGGGGTTACCCTTATATGAAGGCTATACGATATCGTAGGCCGAGATAGCCCATCTTCCAACTTGACCTACCTGCAAAAAAGACTGTGATCTGTGCGAAATTTTAGCTTTCTATCTCTTTTCATTTTGACTCTAGCGTGATTACAGCAGAGGGACGGACAGGTCTAAATCTTCTTAGAATTTTACGCTGGTCAGGAATATATATACTTTGTTATGTCTAAAATAATTATTTCGAAGAGTTACAAACGGAATGAAGAACTTAATATACTCTCCATACTATGCATCGTGGAGGGTATAAAAATGGGGAAAATTTCCCCTTTCTCCCCTCCAAAATTTTGGTAAGATGTTGTTTGTTTACTTTATGCAAAGTTTACTATCTCAAGAGAGAGAGAGAGAGATAGAGAGAGCATATCGTTCATTGATTGTGTAAATATTGCTAGGAAGGAAAATAAACGAACGGACCTACTGTAATTCGTCCATTTGACCGAAAGCTGCATAAAACGCTTACCTATACATATCGATTTGATTGAATTCCAAGGTTTTTAAAAGAAACTGAATTCTATCGGATACTTCTGGTGGTGGTTTTGGCGGTTTGGGAGGTTCCGGTGTCACAGCTCTGCTGGCAGGTTTACTCTTGTCATCCTCTTCCTCGGTTAATGGGTCCAGGCAATCCTCTAAAAAATAATAAATTCTTAAATTAAATTAAAAATATCCAAATTTCCAAAATTCCGCATCTTACCATCCTCATTAATCTCATACAAATATTGTGCCCATGCATTTGTGGGAAATGTCGGATCGGTTTGTTGTTCAATATCTATGCGGGGCATAGCGGACTGTATGCCCACCGTGATACGGCGACGAGCAACATTATCAAAGCGTGCACTATCCGATGGTATTAGTTCGACATATCCATCGCGAACATCACCACTCATACGAAACGAAAATTTCTTTTCCGCAGGTATATTCAAAGGGTATACACTTTGTATTTCCACATCGACCGATTCATGATAACGCTGCGAAATGGTGAGATTGACTTCATCTTCGCTACCCAGTGATACCCAGGCCCTGGGAACTTTCTGTAAACGTTTGCTAATCATCAGGCGTTCATAGGTTTCCATGTTACGTATTATCGACAAAGCCAATTTAGCATCTGCCGGGTCAATGTACATGACAAATGGATCACCCGGTGGTGGATCATCGGAATCCTGTGTCAATAGCGGTACATAGCCTATCAACACATGACCATCAACATCATAATTTTGAAAGGCATTGTAATACATCTGACCATTGGGCAAATCATCGAACAGATAATCGCGCAAATTTCTATAGGGAATTTCTTTCCATGGAAATTCCTGTGTGACATGTTCACCCACAACCATGTGTAGACGTCTCTGATTGGCCTCTCTGCAAAATAATACCGTGCATTATGATGGAAAACAATCAGATTTTGGTCCTAGAAACAATTACTGTATCATAATTTCCTGACAACTGGGCATTGAAAGTAAAGCATCCCATGCCTTGGCTGTATCAAAATATTCCACGGGTTCAAATTCATTTTTTGGTGCTTTCCATTTCAAAATATTCTTATTGATTCTAAGGAATCTGTAAATTAAATTTTGGATTAATATATCATATATTCTCTAGGTAATTTTATTATTTTACTTAGTTCTTTCATCCTCAACTTCTTCTTTTGGTTCTTCAGCACCTGTGACTGCTTCAGCCATTATTTCGGATTTTTTTTCTGCTAAATATAAATATAATTTAATGAGAAAGGAAATTTACGTATTTTATTTATTTACATTTGAAAAAGTCACCTTGGTAACGGCAAACACAATGCAATTTAAATTTTTGATGAATAATAGCCAACAGATGGCGTTGTGTGATTTGTTTTACAAGTGATGCCAACATTTAAGACTTATAAAAAGGCAATACAATTGAATTGATTAAATAGGAGTGTTCGTTTACTCGGTAATTTGTACAAATTTTTAATTTAAAATTTCACCAGTAAGTAAGGATGAAAAATGAATTTAAGTGCCGATGATAAGCTATTTTATATATCCAAAAAAATTATGCATCCGAGGATCACCATTACATCATGCATAATTCTATTGGAGATGCAGGAACAAATGGTATATGGTGCAGACGGTTTAAAGGTATGATATGATAAGAACTGCAAAAATAAATGTGTAAAGAGTAATTCATGGCAAAACAATAGAAGTAAACTCATTTGCTTAATTGAATATGGCAACCGTTTTCTGACGAACTCGACCTTGTCATTTTTCAAATAAAATCTATATTCGTATCTAAAATATTTCCGTATGACGAGTGACAGATTTGTTCTGTAAAGTAACAATTTCAAAGCCTTCTTCTTAAGGTAACGTTTTCGGTGATGTAATTTCTTGCATGATACAGTAAAAAGCTAAGGTAGAGCTACCAGCTGATTACAATTTCCTGCCAATTTTGTATTTATCGTTTTGAAGAACAAAAACAGAATATTAATTATTAAGCATTAAATCTAATCGATAAGTTTGTCATGGAATTTAAAGATAGAACTGGATAGATCGTATTATTCAAAGAAAATCCAGGCATATCATTCATTTTCCCGCTATTTAATATAAATAATAATAAAAAATAAAACAGGAAGCGGGCATAGTCTCAGGACTGTATTTCTGTAGCTTTGCGAAGCTGTTATACCTCCTCATTGTACCATGAGTTCTTGTGTAGGCCTCGAATGAAGTTTTACTTTAGGTCCGCCTTTAAAGGTGAGTGTACATAAACAGCATGTTTTGGCATATTTTGTGACATATCACAAAGGGATGCCAGAGTCGCACTCAAATTCTGCCGTCGTTTCCCTTTATAATTTGACATTAATATACCTAGCCATGATTCTTCAAATCATTGATTTTGAAAATATTTTGTTTTTATTTTTCAAAACAATAAATACTACACAAAATTGGCAGAAGCCGGACACAAAAATTGTAATCAGCTGGTAGCTCTACCTTACCTTTTTGTTGTACCATACTAAAACGAAAGCTTACGCTGACAATTTCTTGTGACGAAGGTAATGTCAATTGGACTAAAGATAAGAATACATAAAACGCTTTTTTAACTAGTTTCTTTGGAAAAGAACAAAGTAGCACAGGGCTAAAATCGAACTAAATCAACCTAAAACTCCTTTATTCCTTGTCTTTATCAAAACAACGTTTGTTTATTAGGGGAGAATGATGGTAATGTTTACCAGGGGGTAATACAGGAAATATCTAGGTTTCGAAAAGAACCACCAATCCTCATCAGTTCCCTTGTCTGGGGTATTCTCCCCAGAAGTTATTTTAAAAATAACTTCTATGACAAAAATTGTTTTTACCCAATAGAAGAGGAACTAAAGAATTACATAAATTAATTAAATTTCTTTTTGAAAATCTTCTTAATCCTACAACCGCACTTATAAACATTTCCATCTTTCTCCACTTGTTATGCTTTTGTTTTTATAAAAACAACTATAAAGGGACTAAGCCTGACCATTTTGCAACAAAATACTATGGTATCCCGAACAAACAAGCCAAACTGTTTTACTCCTTTATTCCTATACGAAGAAGCCAGCCGATGACTTAAGACAGTAAAAAAGTTTTTTATGTATTCTCACCTTAAAAAAATGAAACCAAATTCAACCATTCCAAAATTAAGTCTTACATGACGTCCGCCAACGTTTAAGAAGAACTATAATATATAAATTTGACAATGAAGGCACATAAAATAAAAATGTAATCGTATGATAGCATTAGATTACCTTGCTAATTGTACCATGGAGTAATTTTTCATATTATTCATTGTGTCCTGGTTCTACTTATACCCTAAACCACACTGTGGTCAGCGTATTATGTCTTTGCACATTTGTTTCTAACATAGAGAAGGAAGCGTGGTAGAACAATGATCCCTTTCATAATCTGCATAGGATCACATTCTGAGTCGATTTATGCATGTCCGTCCGTCTGTCCATGTATTTTTGTAAAAAAAAGTTCAGGCCGCATTTGTTGCCCGCTCGAGATGAAAATTTGCGTAAATCATTTGTTTGGCCTGAGGACGAATCCTATAGAAATTGGAGATAATCAGTCAAAATTTTGATATAGCTCGATTCCAAGTTTATTGTGCTGGTGCGATGGTTAATATATGTCGGAATTGAATGTAGTTTGGCACAGACGAACGAATGGAAGAAAGCGTATCAAATTTGGTCAAAATCGTTTAAGACATATGCCTATGTCCATAAATATGTTTTATCTGATTTTGTATTTAAGTCCCTCACACGCGTAAAATTCTATCCACATCAACGTTATTTGGTGCCAGCTATCAGATACAGAATATAAATGCATCTGCTAAAGTCATGCAATCATATGTTTACAAGTTTTTCAAAATTATTCAATTGACAGTATCTCACTGTCAAAATGTATATTTTTGAATTCATTGCACATACACAAATCAGAGATGGGAACCTGTTTTCTATGCTGTAAAATTTAGCAAGGTAAATTACAGAAAATTCCGAGATGGATACGATTAATTTAAATGACTTTACCTTCTTAATTTTACCATAGAATTACATTGGGGGAAATCCACAAAACATGAACGGAATATTAGGAGTTTTCCACAAAATTGAATCCAAGACAGAGGGACAACATTATTTTATCGCAATTTTATACATTTTGTTGTCCGTCAACATTGAAATCGTGCATTTCTGTTGCATAAAACATTTCAAATAATTTCGCATATTTTTCTTGATTTATAAACGCCTGCAAATTTTGCTAGGCTTTCGTGCACGGGAATGGTCTTCAAGTAAATATTTTAAAATTATGCTCGCTTCCAGAATTTGCAAGAATGTAAAAGTTTTTACTACGATAACCGATTTTCCCTTTATGACATCGAAGAAAATTACAAAATTAGTAGATTCTTGCAGGTACTGGAACAGAGCATTAGTGTAATTATCACCTCTTTCCTTCCTAGTCTACAGTTAAGAATTTTACAAATTAAGATTATTACATTTTTTATAGAAATACATTATACGTCTATTTTCAATATTTTGTTGATGCATTCAACATTAGCATTAACTGCAACGTTGCGTTTACGTTGCAATTGTACAATAAATCTCTCAAACATCAAATTATTTCCAACGTTTTTTATTACATTCCCAATGAATGGGCAACACTGCTGAGAGTGAATGAAACAGACATCATACACAACAGAGACAACAACACCAAATGATTAATCGCTCTCTTTTCGATCTCTAGAAACCTACTAATTCTTTGCAAAAAAGGTCTGAATTTATACTGTGTACGGAGAAGAAAAAAATATGTTGTTCTAAAAAGTACTTAATTAGAGGCGTGGAAAGTTAATAAAATTATAAAATATATTAAGAAATAGGTATTGTGGAACTGTTCTTTGTGAAATATTAGCAATTAGCTTGAGATTTATTCGCGAAAAACACGAAGAAAAAGTTGCATTGTGTGTATTTGTCTATTATCTCCGCCCTCTCTTCTTTGATGGGTTCGTCGTCGTTGTCTGGCCATTCGAAATGCAGGCCAAAAGACATTGTGGGTTTTCATGATGAAGATTACGACAAAATGTTTGTGATAGATATTGATTTTTATTGACGTCGTTTGTGGTGATTGTGAACATTTTTTTAATATTTCATTCGCAGATGCGATAAATGGATACAGATATGCACCAACATACCACAAAAAATTGGTAACAAAGAGACTATTGGTAGTTGGTGACATCATCAAAGCCTTATTTGATGATGACTCGTAAGATACACCTTTTTACAAAAAACCCAATCAGTGGCTTTTTGCATATTTTTCATGTTGAATGTGTGTTTGGAGAAAATTGTGATTGCTTTCCCTTGTTCCGCTTATGCAGAATTAAAATATTAAGTGCTATCATTTCAAAAGTCGATCTGCCTTGGGTTATTTCTTCCTGCTGAAAAGTGTAATGTGTATTTAGTCCACCGTTCCCTTTGTAGCCATCTTCTTGGGCGTATAATCTGAAAATTGTATATCATATTTGTCATTGACATTGAAGAGTCTGTTGGGAAATGTGAAAGCCGGTAAATCCCAATAAGACATTTTTTCATCTTTAATTCAAGGGATTAGTGATTATATCCATATTGAGCCTTTGAGGATCTGTATAATAAGGAACGAAGTAAGAAATGCTCGAGGGTAATTTTTTTTTTTTGCATTTTTGGACATGCCCGAATACAAGTTACACCAACTGCTCCGAAAATCTTTGGTGAAAGTTATGAAATCGGTGATTCCCATACACTTCTACTATAGAAACCTAGACGTTACTATACCTATGCATGGAGAAGTAGGCTGCTAGTGATACTAGTGTCCAAAAATTAAAAAATAAACTCAAAATTACAGGGTGAGATAAAAAACTGCAAACAAGTCAAACGCCATAATTTTTACATTTTATTAATAGTATTGAATAAAAGCAAAAAAATGTTGGAAATAGCAACAAATTTAAGAATAAGTTAAGATTTGTTCGAATTGATCACAAAATCAATCAAAAGGCCAATGAAACCGTCACACTCTGCCTGAGTGTGGCTCTGCGGTTTTATTGGCCCATTCCCGGCGAAGCGCTTACTTGAGGTGATTGACACTTTGGTATTTTTTAGTGCCAAACTTCCTTTCCAAAATACTCCAGGCACAAAAGTCCAACGGATTGGTATCCAGAGATTTTGGTGGCCATTGTGCGCTGGAAATGAAGCGAGGAATCTCATTTTGTAAACATTCTTGGGTGGCGCGAGCTGAGTGCAATGCTGCTGAGTCCTGTTGGAATGTCCAAGGTCTGCGTCCAAAATGTTTGAGTGTCCAAGGCTTTAATACACCCTCCAGAATATTTTTACGATAATATTCGGCATTTATTCTGATGCCACAGTCGATAATACGAGCAGCCATCGGGCGTTATGGCGGCCCATATCTTCAACATGGTCAAGCGTTCTGGTGGCCAACCGAAAGTGAACATTTTTAGCTGACCTCTTTGGCAAGTAAACACGGTCATTTTGTTTGTTTACAAACTGCTGGACAACGAATGTTTTCTCATCGGAGAAAACCAAATTCGGCAGTACACCACTTTTGGCCCAAGCCAAGCAATTCTTTAGCTCTTTTAAGTCTTTTTTCTTTCTGCTGCGGTGTAAGTTCTTGCACTTTTTGGCATTTTAATTTTTTCAATATTTGCCGTATAGATAATTGCGATATGTTCAGCTCACCAGCCATTTTTCGGCCACTGCGACGCGGGTTTCGATCAAGTCGCTTCTTTACTTTTCGAACCATTTCTGCTGATGTTCCTGTTTTATTCCATCCACTTCCTTGACGTCGAGCTACACTACCAGTATCACGGTAACGAGCGATTGTACGAGACACAAAAGATTTATTCACATTTAAAAGCTGGAGTTTTCTAACGATAGCCACTTGTGGTTTCCAGTCAAATATGAAGAAATCACACTATCACGCTTGAATTCCATCACGAATAACTTTTTTTCTGGAAAATTCTCACCAAAATGCTTTTGTACGCTTGTAAACAATATAATGAGCTGTCACTGGAAAAATTTTAACAGCTGTCGGACGAGTGGCTTAGAAATGACAGCAGTCTGAAGTAGGTTGCGGTTTTTTCATCTCACCCTGTATGTCAGCTACTTCCAAAATTCTTTCTTCGAAGAAGCTGGAAGAAGATGACACTTGGACACCATTGTATCTAAGGCCACAAGCTCCCATCTAGTACTTAGTAAGTCTGATTTAAAAATCGCGATAGGCTTTCTCACTGGTCCCAGTAGTATCAGGTATCTATGCTCAAGATGGGATAGATCGATAGAGACAATTAAACATGTACTATGCAAATCTACCAAGCTATGTAACAAAAGACGTCGGGAATTTTTAGAATATAGATACCATCATCATCTTCAAGTTTTTTAAAAACATTTCCTGGCTTGGCAGGTTACCCCGCTAAATATAATTCTCTTTATTAACTCTTTCTTCTCTTTCTTGACCTAAATGTTGAATTTTGAAAATTTTAATATAGTTATGACATTGTAGAGTTTTCCGTTCCCGAGGATTTTTGAGTACATTGTGCTTTACTAACTTCCAACATTAAATGCAAATACATTATTAAACCTTTTTTAAATGGTTGCATTGCTCAACTCAGGCTCTCAATGGATAGAACTTTTTTTGCCATAAATTATTTTTTTAAAGTAATGTTATTATTATTCCACTTACAGGAGTTCTGCCCTGTGGCTTAAAGAGTTATTTATTTTCATTGTTTTTTTTTTTAATATAGTGAGGATTTTTTTCTCAGTTGTAAACTTAGGAATATGAAAATATTTTAATATCTATTTTTATTTGCATATATATTTTAACAGTTCATAAATTAATATATGAAATTTTCCAATTTTCAGATAAAGCCAACGTTTAGGTCTTCAGCAGGCAACAACAAGAAAATAACTTCCACTAACAAGTGTCACAAATAAATTGCAAAATATGGATCGCAAAGCGGAATTAGAACGCAAAAAGGCCAGATTGGCCGCTTTGCGTGAAGAAAAGGATAGACGTCGCCGTGAAAAGGAAATGAAAGACATGGAAGAGCTTGCTGTGCGAAATAATGATAAGGATCAACGAAAGTAAGATAAATTGCTGACAATATCAATGAACTCTAATTCGAATATTTCTCGTTTTCAGAGACTTGGATGAAATGCTTTCATCATTGGGCGTTGCACCAGTTTCCGAAGTTTTGACTTCGTTGTCTTCAGTGAATTCATTAAACTCAGATAATTCTAATACCCAAACACCAGATGCCAGTTTACAAACAAATATGAACGGACCCAGGTATAAAGTTGTGAATTCATATTTTTTAGTCAAGTTTTTATAATATTCAAATATCTTTCAGTGCTGGCAAAAAACCCTTAAATTTGAGTGTTTATAATGTCCAGGCCACTAACATTCCCCCAAAAGAAACTCTTACCTATTCTAAGCAAACACAAACACAAAGCACCGGTGGTCATGATCGTGATGGTACGTATCTTCATGTTAATATCTTATCTCTCTATTGGAGAAATTTATATATATACACTGTTAATTGTTTTCTATTAATCCCGTTGGCGTTAAGTTATTCTAATTGGTTTTATAAATTAAGCGAATGCCTTGCAAAACAAACTACAATTTCTTTCAACTATTGTTTGTGATTAATCTAAGAATGATATAATTTCTAATTCTCTTTCACCTTGTAAATCCATTAGTTAGTTATTTTTAATTTATATAAAATTAGCAAAAAAAAATCATTATCATCTTTAAACACATTCTTTTTTGGAAATGCCAACAAACTGAAAAAATCATCTATGGTCCTAGCAATGTTATTCCAGGGGCGAAATTCTTAGTCCCTTCTCCAACAGAACGTTTGGCAGTCGTTCTTTTTTATCCGTACTTCCTTTAAAATATACATTTTATTCTATTAATTCCAATATGTTGGCAAAGAAATATGTTGCATTTTTTTGTATTGATTTCCTATCACTATTTCCGAATACGTAAATTCTCTTTTGAGGAAGACATAAGTTTGTTTTTACCCCGAAACTTAAGTTCAAGGTAACACTTTCAATAGTTAGTATAATATTTTGTGATCATGAATGCATCTATAATTTTTATTATAACAACGAATTGGATAAATTGTTACACTAAAAGTGAAAAACAATCTCTCAATCAAAATTCTTTAAAGAAATTAAGAAAATTCGTATTAGAAGTAATGGAGCATGTAGAATGTTTAGTTGTCATTATTAGATGAATTCAGAAAGTTTGCAATCTTTTTATATTTTAAAGTAAAAGCAAATGAATTTAAATTCTATTTTCATTTGTCTTTGTTATCACACTTGTAGATATAAGTTTGTGAATCTTGAAACATCTTAATTATTTAATTAATATCATTGTCCACAGAAAAGGACAGCACAATGTGGGATAGATCAGTTAAACTTCTTGAACACGGTTTGATGTTTTAATTGAAATGCCCACGACGTTATATTCTCCAAACATTTTTGATTTTTTACAAATATAAAAATATATTAGATCTGCAAAAATGGCTCTCCCTGTTGGATCTTATACAAACTCATTTCCCGTTATGTTTTGTAATTTGGTTAATTCTAACAACATCTGGCAGCTCATTTTATTTTACCATGTCCAATTTCTCCCAAATGTCAAGAACCACTTTTAAATTCTTTGGAGTGTGATTGCATAACCTCAAGTGTTCCCTGACAATCGACAATGATAAAAGTAGGACTTTGTTGCAGGTACCACATACAGCTTGAAAGTTCAATAGACGATATAAAATATCTATGATATTTTTATGAAGTTTTCACAACTTTGAAGAATGTCCAGTGGGAATTGATGGATTGATCGACTTAATCATCCAGTGGATTTACACTAGGCTCGTACATGTACACGTACATGCATATTCACGTACATGCATGTTTAAGTCGTCTACGCAAGCCACAGCTATCTGCGACGAAATGAAAAGTAGGAACAGGGTCCTCAAGGCGCTAGCTGGCAGCACTTGGGTTGCGGACATGTAATCATTGTTGACCTCTTACAACGCGATAGGTCGGTCTAGTGCTACGCAGTGGAAGCACATCCAGACCAGAATGCTGTCTCAGATGCTATCAGCAATTACAGGATGAATGCCGTCCTCGGAGTCCACCCCTATCCATTGCAGTTGAGGAAGGCCAGCTGCCTTGACAAACCAGGGTATTTTTGGCGCAATTACGTTCAGGATGGTGTAGTCGTTTCAATTCGTATTGTGCACGAATTGATGAAAATGTGCGTGACGCGCTGCACCTCTTTAATTGCACAGGCAAACCTACCCAACTCACTTTAGAAGATCTCTGGCTTCAGCCCGTTAAAGTAGTCGAATTTTTAAACCTGGAGCTTAAACTAGATTACCAGAATACAAACATCCATATGTACTACTACTACTACAATAACAACAACCCTAGGCTCGTTAGTTTACCTGCTTCACCAGGAAGAATTAAGTTATTTAAAATAGTAGAGATATAGAAACAGACCAAGCCAGGGAGTGCTTTTAGTAATCTTCAAAAAAATGTTGAGATCTGAGAAGAGCGTTCTATCACCCACATGAGAAGAACATTAAAGTATCTAACTTCTACTACCGAACAGCTTTTGTCTTTTATTTGATTAGATGTTTAATCGTCTCTACCTATTCTTCATTCCCACATAGGATATCTAATTCCAATATGGCCACCACGTTTCTTAAAAGAAAATACTAATTGAAAGAAGGTAGCAGGTTATTTTTTTCGAGATTGCAGGCCAGATTGTCTTGTCCTAGAGACTTTGCAACCGATGCCTCTGCCAGCTTCTTCGATGAGAATCTTTTTGAATCGGATGACGTAATAAACATAATAATCAATCGACTGGGAAACACCTCGAGCTAATTCGTCAGCCATTTTAGTCCCCACTATATTTCTATGTCCTGAGACCCAACAAAGCTTAATGATTTCATGTAGGGGTTTCTTGCGGTCAAGAAGGGTTCTCGATTTGATTCCTTTTAGTATGCATAGTAGGTGTCCAATCGTCTCTAACTCTTCTTCATCATCCCATAGTTCACAGTAGTCAGGAAAACTGTTATCCCATTTTGAAGTCAAATATCATATACTAGGGTTATTGCACGTGGGCAGTTGACCCAGAGTCTCAATCTTCTCTGGGATTACACCAATATCATTGGTGTGATATAATCGGCATGAGCCGCCAGCAAAAGTTCCTAGGCGAGAAGTTGTCATTACCAATCCATTAACTTCTGTTGTCTTTGTTAAAATTAATTAAATTGTATAACTGGCGATATTCAAATCTGTCAATTGTGCCAACTAAAAAGAAACTGTGAATTGCCTTAATAGAAAATTTTAGACTTTTTAGACAAAACGCCAATATAGATCTACTATAGTTTACTATCACTAATAACAATTTAAAATTACTACACATTATTTAATCTACAATCTAATAAACAAATCTCTCAATAATTTTAATTTAATCCATCCTCTTCTTTTTATACACAAATTGGAACATTATCTTTTGTCCCCCATAAAGCAACTCTACGTACGTTTGGCATGTATAATCCTATTTCTATTAGATTTTATTCTTTTTGAATGTTTTAATTGTGCTAGCAATATAAATTTATTGTATTTTAAATATATTAATATATCTATATGAAAATCGTAGTGAAATAAAATAACAAATACAGTTCTTTCTTGCCACTCCTCACCTCTGTCAGGATATATGGAGGATTGGTGGAGACCACGCAAAGGTACTGGTAATTTTTACTAACTTTTATATATTACAATTATCTATCTTCCTTTTGACTACGAAACAACAATGAGTTTATTATTTTGTTTACTCAATGCACATTTATTTGTTTCGATTAAGATTTTGCATAAATTAATTATGTTTTTATCTTCTTTTTCATGGTAAACACATCACAGTATGCTTGTTATTATATTGATGACAAAAAAGACTTGTATGCCACCATAAAGTATTTTTATAGCACTTATTTTTAATTTTGTGTAGACAAGAAAAGTCAAATATAAATCTACGTGGAATGAATGAAGGATTTATAATGAATATATATTTTTTCCTCACTTCTAAGGAGATATTATTTTCAGCGAATTTGACATATGACAGCTTCTTCACTTGGAGACCAGAAGTCCATTGTGGTTATACTGAAAAAAAGGATTTAGATTAAACCCACCACATTTTTGGGCCTATTAGATTTTCATCCTTTCTACTAAAATCACTAGAAAGGTTAATCGACGTTGAAATCAAATCTCATCTACGATCGGGGAAGATCAGCATTGCTCAACACGCCTAAACCACGCTGCATGACGTCGTTGGTTATATCGAGAAAATCTTTAATTGCTCATGTTTCCCTTTTACAGCCTTTCTCGGCATTGAGGTTGCCTCTTAATTCACGATTGCCTCAAGTGTGACATTCGAAAATCTGTATATCATTGCTCCTCACTGATGTTATGCTCTGTAGCAGTCATCAACTCATGTATAGGGGAAAACTCCGTTAGAAGATCGGTTATAAATGATATATTGAAGGACCTGGAACAAACCGAAGGAAATTCGTGGCTTACGCTGACGACGTAGTTCTGCTGCCGAAAAATGCCTGTAAACAATTTCAGATCTAATGCAAGGAGCTCTTGTCAAACTATCTAGGTGGGCACTTGGCAACGGCCTAGGTATGAACCCATTTTAAACGGATCGCGTTATCTTTACGAGAAAACGGAAACTACGAGAGTTTTCGCCACGGAGTCACATTAAGCCTATCTTCGGAAGTCAAATATCTTGGTACTGTTCTTGACTAAGAACTAAATTGAAAGAGGAATATTGAGGAGCGTGCTCAGAGGGGCTTATCGCACTCTTATTATCAAATGGATATATGAGTCGATTGTCCGTCCGATTTTGACATATGTAGCGCTCAAAAAGTTCTTAAAAGAGAAGCATTTAAAAAGTAGCATCATTACAAATTACAGGTGTATTTAGGAGTACACCCCAAGCTGCACTAGACATCCTACTTAACTTAAATCCCTTAAGTCTATTTGTAATGGAACAGACATCCAGATGTGAAAATCACAGAACTTGAACAATGGCTTAGTCAGTCCTTTGGACTTTCTGTTATTTTAAGGCATGTGGCGAACATAGGAGTGACCACATATCATCTAGGCTCAACTTTGAATTTCTGGACATCCATATGCCTGACAGGAACATCTAGACCCTGAACTGCCACCGATGGTTGAAAGATGGAGAGTGCGACGGTTGACAGGGTCTTGAACGAAATCCTGAATATCAGAAACTCATTCAAATCAAAACAACAACTGGAGAGTATTCCAGACAGAAATTTTTGATATAAAAAAATCCATAGATCGATCTACTGGCAAACAGAAACAGTGAACAGAATGTTCCGGTGGCTATATATGTCGATGGCAGTTTGCAGTTTGGAATGCACTGGAAAAAGTTAATTCGTCTATTAAGCTTTGTTGGGTTCCAGGACATTGCAACATCTCTGATAATGCTTCAGCAGATGAGTCAATCGATTTGGAGATCGAGAACTTGAGGTACCCTTGTACCACTTCTTCTGGTTGGACATAATCACTACTCTGTGAGATTTCAACTAAACTAGCTAAATGCAATGTCTCTAAGAAAATTTAGACCCAACAAAGTACATATAGGACCACGATATCGTGTATCGCCGTTATATGGTATGGTATAGTACCGTTATATGGTACCTCCCGATATTCAGAATTTTGATGATTTTAGCCACATTTTCAATGGAATTGTCTGAAAATCCACAGAAGGAGTTCCTTGTGAGTACTTTATCCCCTGGAAGAGAATTATTGACATCGGTCCACAATATCGTATACCCCCATATAACGGCACCCCTCGATATTCGATGTTTTGATGATTTTAGCCACATTTTTCAATGGAATTGTCTGAAAATTCTCACAAAAAGTTCCTTGAGAGTACTTTATACCCTAGAGGGGGATTATCTATATAGATTCACTATATCGTTTAGCCCCCGTATAACGGCACCCTCCGATATTCGGTATTTTGACGATTTTAGCCACATTTTTCAATAGAATTGTCTTAAAATCTACAAAAGGAGTTCCTTGTGAGTACATTACCCCCTGGAATAGAACTGTCTATATAGGTATACAATATATCCCCGGTTTCTCCCGATATTCGGTATTTTGATGATTTTATCCACATTTTTCAACGGAGTTGTCTGAAAATCATTACAAGGAGTTCCTTGTGAGTACTTTATTCGCTAGAAGAGGACTACGTCTTCGTATAGCCCCCATATAACAGTTTTCATTTGAGCGGTATTTTCCAACAGATTTTTTTTAACATTTTTCAAGTTTCTTACAAACGCCGGAGGGTATAAATAGTTCTTATCTGCCTTTTTACTTGTTATACCCTACACCACATAGTGGTAAGGGTATTATGTCTTTGTGCATTTGTTTGTAACATGGAGAAGGAAACGAGATAGACCCATAGTTACTTTTGAGAACCTTCATAGAATCACTTTCTGAGTCGATTTATGCATGTCAGTCCGTCTGTCCGTCCGTCCGTCCGTCTGTCCATGTATTCTTGTGAACAAAATGCAGGTCGCATTTATTATCCGATTGAGATGAAATTTTCCAAACAATATTTTTTTGGCCCAAGGACGAACCCTATTGAAATTGGTGAGAATCGGATCAAATTTAGATATAGCTCCCATATATATCTTCATCCGATTTCGGGTTAAATGTGCACCAAATATCCACTATCAGTCCAAATTACCTGAATTTTGGCACACCCAACCGAGTTCGGCCTAGAAGCAAGTATATCAAATTTGGAGAAAATCGGTTCAGATATAGCTATAGCTCCCATATATATCTTTCATCCGATTTGATCTTTAAGTCCCTCACATTTCTACTATGCACTCCACAACCGTGATATTTGGTACCAGGTATTAGATGGAGCACAGAAATAGCTGTTTTAAATTTTATCGAAATCGGTTCAGATTTGGATATAGCTCCCATATATATCTTCATCCGATTTCGGGTTAATTGACCACCAAATGGCCAATATCAGCCCAAATGGCCCGAATTTTGGCACATGTGACCGAGATTAGCCTTAAAGCAAATACAACAAATTTGGAGAAAATCGGTTCAGAAACAGCTATAGCTCCCATATATATCTTCATCCGATTTCGGGTTAAATGTGCACCAAATGTCCACTATCAGTCCAAATTACCTGAATTTTGGCACACCCAACCGAGTTCGGCCTAGAAGCAAGTATATCAAATTTGGAGAAAATCGGTTCAGATATAGCTATAGCTCCCATATATATTTTTCATCCGATTTGGTGTTTAAGCCTCTCACATTCGTAATATGCACTCCACAAGAATGATATTTGGTACCAGATATAAGATACAGCCCAGAAATAGCTGTTTGTAATTTTATCGAAATCGGTTCAGATTTGGATATAGCTCCCATATATATCTTCATCCGATTTCGGGTTAATTGTGCACCAAATGGCCGATATAAGTCCAAATGGACTGAATTTTAGTACATCGGACCAAATTCAGCCTAGAAGCAAGTATATCAAATTTAGTGAAAATCGGTTCAGATATAGATTTAGCAACCATATATATGTTTCATCCGATTTAGAGTTTTAGTCCTATACATTCGTAATATTCACTCCACAACCGTGATATTTGGTACCAGGTATTAGATGGAGCACAGGAATAGCTGTTTTAAATTTTATCGAAATCGGTTCAGATTTGGATATAGCTCCCATATATATCTTCATCCGATTTCGGGTTAAATGTGCACTAAATGGTCAATATCAGCCCAAATCACCAGTCTAGAAGCTAATACGTAAAATTTGGAGAAACCCGGTTCAGAGATAGCTATAGTTCGTAAAATGCACGATAGAATTAGATAGATTTTGATTTTGTACCAAATATCTCATAGAGCTCTGAAATGCCCTGCATAAACCTTTTTACGAGAGCTCTACTAAATATGCATAGTGGTGTAGGGTATCATATAGTCGGCCCCGCCCGACTTTTGAGCTTTCCTTACTGGTTTTTTCATCTATATTTTCCCGTTTCCGAGTTTCCGAGTGAAGTGGTTGTTATATGGCAATCGAGTATCCTTTAACATAACCTATCCTACACTTTGGCTTTTCGAAAATAGTTCACATTGCTACTTTCATTTTAGAATTTTACAACCAAAATCCGATTAATGAAAAGTTAAGTTACTTATAATCTAGCATATGCCTCCAATCTAAATAGTGGTGGCCAATTTAAATACACCTTAAATAATGCTAAGTATCAGTATCAGACTACTTACTTGGACCCGTCAAATTCATAAATCCCATGGTATTCATTCATTTCATTCCAACACAAAACAAAAAAATTATTTGACTTTTCTTATGAACTATATTTTGTGAAAACAATTCCTTTAAGTATTTGTAGAGTAAAAAAACGTCTAAACAATGTGTCTATATTAATTTGCTAATTTATGAAAACATTCTTTTCTTCTTCTTCTATTGTTGCTTTCTTTTAGCTCATACTACGGACTATTATGGTGAGTTTTATTGTGTAAAATGCAATGTAATAAATGTGTAGAAACGTTTTTGTTTTCCTAAATTAGAAAATTGTGAGATAGAATTTACTTCATGTATAAGTGTGTAGTTTAGGACATGTTTTTACATTTTTAATAGTTTAATTTAACATATTTAGTTTTAGATGTCTTTAAAAAGCAAACAACTTTTTTGTTTCGTTTTAATTTTTCCATTACTTTCGAACTTGTTAACCAAAAATGAAACTTGGCCAAGAACAAGTCATCCAAAAAATCAGTGACATTTCAATATTTTAATTATGTTTTTTTTTTTCATAATTTATTTGTATATATTTGTAATAGCGAGCAATAATTATATCACCAAGTATATTTTTTTTCTCCACCCATTTTTTTAATTTCAATATTAACGAAAATGTATTTATTCTATTTTTAAGTGGATATTTTATTTATAGAAAACAAATGCCACTTTTTAAGTTCACCTAAATAAGTTGTAGAGTGTTCATTATTTTTTCTTATTTTTAATTTTAATTTCTTAGAAATAATTCTAGTTTTAAAAAAAATCTAACATTATTACGGCTACCCTTCCAAACTGAACAACTAAATAATCATTCATTAATTATAGGTGTTTTTTAATTATTTTTTTCTAATTAAACACTTGAAAACCTCACTTGTGTTTAACACAATTCCCGTTATGTTTATATCCATAAATAATTCACAATCACTTTAGGGAAATTGTTACTCAAGTATTAGGGTGGGATTAACAAATTTAAAAGTTATTTACTTGCATGTTGTTTTTTTTTTAAGAAAAATTCTATGGCAATTGCTACACCATTTTCATGTGTTATCCCAGAAATCCTATTTGAAAGTCAATGTATTTTAATTACAATTTTACTTATTCTCCTTGAACATTAGAAACATTACATTGAGTGGCGAGTCTTACTGCAACGCAACTCTTCCAGTCAACATCTCCGAGACATTTCATTTCATGAAATTTCCGGAGCAATGTTTATATATCACTCGGAAGACGTGGTACAAGAACGGATTCATCGAGATCTCGATCTCCAGATCGATTGTAAGGAATCCACGTCTACCTAATTCATCTGCTGATTCATTGCCAATAGATTTAATGGTACAAGAATTCAGTATTTTCAGGGCTGCTTGACTCTCGACATTTATACAGGGTTGCCCATATTTGACGGACCCATCTGGCAACGCCATAACTTTTGACAGAGATGTCACATCGCTTAATGACATACCGCGTTTGAAGCGTCAGTCCAAGCAGATTTTTACCATGAACCAATACACGCCACGCGAGCGCTCTGAAATAGTTGAAATTTACAAGAAGTCAATTGTGAAAACTCAACAGAACATTAAAAAAAGTGAGAAGTGCGCCTTCTAAGAACACCATTAAGCGTTTATACGAAAAATTTTCGACTGGTAAGGCTCTTTCTAATCCGAAGAGGCCAAGGGGATCGGCCGAGAACATCGCTGCCGTACGAGCCAGTGTTGAGAGGTTCCCAAGAACATCCCAAAAACGCCGTTCTTAGCAGTTGGGCATGGCTCGGTCCACTTTACAACGGATTATTCGCATTGATTTGCATTTGTTAATTGACGCAAATTTGTTTAATTGACGCAAAGAATGTTGCCGGCGGACAAGCCTCGTCGATTGGAATGGGCCCAAAGGTCCGTCAAATATGGGCAACCCTGTAGTCGCCGGACCGTACAGTTCAATGATTTTGTTTGCCATCAGATCTATGGCTTTTGTGTAATAGCAAAGATTTATACCTAGAATACTCTGATATTCAGACTGTCGCAGAAGACCCTCGCAACCGGCTCACTCTCACATTCAAAAGTGGGCTGTTCTGTGTTAAGATGTCCCTGTCAGGTTTAGGTGATATGTAGTCACTGGCTTTGATCCGCCCTCATATTTTTCACATGTCTCAAAATAACAAAGGACTGACTGCGCCATTGTTCAAGTTCACTGAGTCGTAGGGTGCACCTAGCTACCTCTTCCTCTTCCTCTACCTCGATTCGATTTCCTCTTTTTCCTGGCAGTCTTTTTAGTGGCAGTTGGACCCATAGATTTAATCTCAAGCTCGTCTTTTCTTGCTTTGGAGGGTGGTATCTCCGGCACTGGCACTTAATAGGACTTTTTTTAAGTCTTCTTTGTTCCAGTCGCCTTCGTTTCATGGGTTTCCCGAAGCCCAACTGGCTTCACCATTGTTCTGCATGTGCGGATCCTGCTTATCGGGAGTTCTCTTAGAGTTGCTTTAGGATACGTTCTGACGAACTTCGGGTTCTTCCTGATAAGCTGCTACCCTTATCAGTGAGCTTCGATGGATCCCCATCTTATGGGACTACAGTAGTTTACTGCTCGCCGACATGCCCTTTTATCCCTCATCTTATTGGATTTGGTGTTGGGCTTTGCCTCCTTATACTTCCATTGCCTCCTGTTTTGATAGTGTGGGCCTGTCAGTTTTTATTGAAGAACTTGTATTGAGGCCGCTAGAACTATTCGGGTCGAGTACATTGGAAGTCAGCCCTGATTAGAGGCGAAGGCATGGACTACCGTGTTATCCATGTCTTTCTCCCCCTCAGACAGGGGGGTTTCCCAGAAGTTTGCAGCCCCAAAGGATAAAACTAATCAAAGCCTAACCATGAATTCACCGTGAAAATACAACGCTGTTGTCAGCTACAAGTGACAAGTGGTAGGTTGTTTAATATTTCTCCTTCCATATGTCATCGTCGCTGTGAAGGGACTGTGGTCGACCATGGCAAGGACTCGGCAACTAAATCTAATATTCATTGAGGCGCCCAGGTATCAAAGAAGGTGCGTTAGAATACAATCCTACAACAGTGATGGATACGTAGTCGAATAACAACACATCGTTAGGGGATCCTCTTTGGGGTCCAGCATAGAGGTTTTACTATTTTAGGAGCTCATCAACATCATTGGCACCCGGGTATTGAAACCGAGACCCTCCATCCATCCAGACTAACAATCCGCGACTGGTACACAGTCTACTTTTCGCGACTTCGCAACCTGGGAATACGTCCGATAGCAATCAGCTATGCTCCCCGAAGGCGGAAGATACCCTCTGCCAATAGTAGATTAGATTTGTTGAGGAAAAGTAGTGAATTTGTTCTTATTCTGACGGGGGATCGAGTTCTGAAATAGGTATGCATGAAAAGTTTCACTCGGATCAGCCAAAATGATGGATATACGTGTTGGGCTAAGTCGAACATTGAGAGAAAATGTCGTTTTAACTTAAATACAATAAATATTTAAAAGGAATTAAAACTTTGTAAATAACTTTCTTTCTGGAAATACATGTTTAATGGTGTAGCGCCGCAATTGCATTTTTCGTTCTATTTATCTACATCTTTACACAAATACTTAACGTTTAGCTAGAGCTAGTTCAAAACTTTCTATGGGGTTCAATCTTATTTCTTTTTTGCATAAATATTTTCTTTTTTTTAATTTTCATTTCTTTAAATCAAATTTGTTTTTGTTTTCTAAACTTAAATCTTCTTGAAATTTCAAACAACAACCAAAACAAAACCAAACAATCAATCAAGAACAACAATGTTGCAACTTCTTTCTTTTTTAATTTTCTATTTTTCAAGATGAATACAATCTAAATCCGGGTTTAGAATGGGAGGATGAGTTCACAGGTAGGTACTCTTTTGAAATTTGTCTCCACAGTAAACGGAATAAATCGACATGAAGCAAAATAGGAACGTCAAAATTCTGCGTTTTGATATAAAGCAAAATTGAAAAAGAAAACGGAAACTTGAATAATGTGGAAGCCTCTCTATTTTTTGGGTAGTTTTGATGAAGGAACAACAAAATTTTGGGTTTCCTAAAATATATATTACAACCTTATCATAACATTTCAAATAATAAAAATAACATGCACTCTCATTACCTATCCAAAATAAGGAATAAAGAAATCTTCAAAACTAATTTTATCTTCCAGTAGGTATCATTACTTTTGTATATGTCAACCTTTTCACATCACCAACATTTTTATCTGTGTTAATGCTTTTGTAAATGTTGTCGTCTATTTTTCATGACTACTTATTTCTGCATTGTCTTGGCTTTTATTCGACTGATTCATGCATTCTGCACGAATTTGTTATGTCCCAATGAAATATTTCAAATGTAATTTTTTAAGGAAATATAAAAAATGTGAAGCATTTTTAAGATATGTGTACGGATTTTAAGAGATTTGCAGGTTTTAGTCGTTAATGTTTAAATGGACTACGTAAATGTCAAATGTGAACGGAAATATAAATGTTTTTACTACCGTCAACCCCAAATTGGCTTTGAGTTTTGTAATAGTTAATTTAATTAAAAGTGTTTTATGTCCATTCGAAAAGATGTTTTTACAAGAAGAGAATATGTAGCAGGTGGCAGTTGGAATTCAAAGCCTTGCTAATATGCTATTGTGAAAAACGTGCGGATTATGATTAATGTAAATTTTCAAATGCTATTGTAATGGGCATCAGGTGAGTTTCATTGGTGTTGGTAACTTCTTAAAAAATAAAAAAATATATTAAAAATGCTTCAACATTTCATAAATTTGGACATTTAATTATTTATACTTAAAGATATACATAAACATATTTCTAATCACATTTAAATATGAAGCATGCATTAACACAGCTAGTCTCTCTCTATCTCTCTCCTTGTTTTTTTTTTATCGTCTCATAACACCTGCTTTACACAAATAAAAAATGTGAATAACACAAAATTTTCAGCATGAAGGGATTTCTTCATATAAATGTACATACCAAAATTGAACAGCTCTTAAGATTATGTAGTTATGTGTGGGATACGCAGACAGTCTCCGTCATTCGATATCGGAAAATTTGAAGGGAGGGGATGTCTGGTATCATAGACGACCTCAAGGTCGTCCCATAAATGTACTTTCAAGGTCTTCTCAAAGAACATCGTGAGGTCTTTTTAAAGACCTCTCGTAGAACATTTCGAGTTCATATCAAAGAACACTGCGAGAACTTCTCATAGATGATCACAAGAATTTTTGTTTTTTTTTGTTTTTGTGTTACATAGTTGACATGATCATCTCTTTTGGTTCGTCCGAGGATCGTTCGAGGATAATATATATTCAGAGTTTAGCAGGTTTATAAGTGTTCCATAGGTGAAAGGAAAAAAAAATATCTCTAGGGTTGAGTTTTGCCTTGTTAAGGCGAAGATCATATGTTTTATGATTTATGTGTTTGTTTTCTCTTTCGAGACGAGCTTAATGATCAGGAATTTGCAGTGAAAAGGAAAGCCAGATAGACACTATCACACACTCACCACTATGCGACGCGTTTCGCCGTTGGTTAAGCGGCTCATCAGGCATATTTGGTGTGGATGATGGCTTACAAGGGCCGTTCTCTGGAAAGTAGTATTGCAAATTAGCATATGCGAATTATACACTAGAAACTCTCCAGGTTCGACTCAAGTTCTATTGGCAGATCTTTTTCACAGCAATGGGTTGTTTTCGAACTACATATTGGTGTAAATTTTCTCGGCCGCGGTCACACCTGCACATGATAATTACACATAAAATAGCTAACCCATTTGTCTTCTAAAGCTACGATACAAAATTAAAACATATATTCCCTATGTCTCTTGATGTTGGAAACTTTTCAATGTATGGTATATTAAATGTGTCATTTCTGTTGCAACACCTCAAAATATTCCTGATCAGAATGAAATTGTAAGGCGTTTTAGCGATGTCCATCCGTCCATCTGTCTCTTGAAATCATGATAGAGTCCACATTATTTAATCTAAAACTTTGAAACAGTCCATGTTTAGGTATATAACGGTACCTCCAGATTTTCAGTATTTTGAACGTTTCTGGGCTATATTGGTCCGCATTTAGGTATAGCCCCTATATAACGTTGCCTCCAAATTTTCGGTATTTTTAAGGTTTTTGCCACAATTTTCAATTAAATCAGCTGGAAGGTCTGTTCTATCTCCGCAAAAAATATTTGCTACAGATCCACCATATAACGCTTCCTCCCGATTTTCTACAATTTCCAACCAAATCAGATGAAACTTTACATTTAGGGCTCTTGGTAGGCCTGTTATCTCCTGTTCGTTTCAGGACCACAAATTGGTATAGCCTCCATATAACGCTACCTCCCGATTTTCGGTATTTTGAAGTTTTCTGACACAATTTTTAACCAAATCAGCTGAAACTTGACATTCTTGAAAGGTCTATTCTTTGTTCGATTGAGGATACCTCGCGATATTCAGTATTTTTGTGGTTTCTGCCAAAATTTTCCAACCAAATCAGCTGGAACTTGGCATTTGGCATTTCTTGAAATTAAAACGAATTGATATTCTAAGTTTGTTTTTGATAAACATAGTGGTGGAGTTTATAAAAAACCGAACTTAAAGCCCTTTTTACTTGATTGGTGTAAACTGAGCCATAAACCCGAAGTTTTGCAGAAGTTCAACCACACTTTTCTCCTCAAATTTGCCATTGTAAATTCCGAATTGAAGATCATTTTTGGACAAAATTTTCAATGCGATTTAATGTTTTAGTGAAGACCACGCCTTTCCTTTGGAACGAGGAAGAACACTATTGATATCAGTGATAATCGGTCCTAAATTTTATATATCTCGTCTAAATGTAATTTGATTGTGCAACAAATGTGTTATATTAGTCCAAATAGGGTTGAATTTGGCGCACGCGACAGATGTTAGCCTAGAAATAGTTATGTCAAATTAGGTGTAAATCGGTTCAGATATAGAAACAGGGGGGGAAAAAACTGAAACAAAGTCAAACGTCATAATTTTTAATTTTTTTCTAAATTTTAATTGAATGGAAGCAAAAATATCGGAAATAGCATCAAATTTTAGAATAAGTTTAGATTTGTTGTTATTTTGGCCCATTACCGATGAAGTGCTTACTTGAGGTATTTTTAGTGCCATCCTCTCTTTCCAAAATACTCCAGACACAATAGTCCAACGGATTGGTATCCAAAGATTTTGGTGGCCATTGTGCGCTGGAAACCATTTTGTAACCATTCTTTGGTGCCGCGTGCTGAGTCCTGTTGAAATGTCCAAAGTCTGCGGCCAAAATGTTTGTGTTCCCAAGGCTTTATAACACCCTCCAGAACGAATGTTTTTCTCACTTTCGGCCAAGCGAAGCAGCTCTTTAGCTCTATTGAGTCTATTTTCTTTCCGTTGCGGTCTACCGTCTACCCCGAGCTCATTTTTCAATATTTTCCGAATGGAATATTGCAATATGTCCAGCTCTCGAGCCGTTTTTTGGACACTGCGACGCGGGTTTCGATCAAGTCGCTTCTTTACTTTTCGAACCATTTCTGCTTATATTGCTGTTTTCTTCCGCCCACTTCCTTTAAATGCTGGAGTGCTCTAACTATAGCCACTTGTGGTTTTCCAGCCAAATATAAAGAAATCACACAATCACGCTTGAATTCCATCACGAATAACTTTTGTTCTGGAAAGTTCTCACCAAAATGCTTTTGTACGCTTGTAAACAATATATTGAGCTATCACTGGAATAATTTTAACAGCTGTCGGACGAGTGGCTTAGAAATGACAGCAGTCTGAAGTTGGTTGCAGTTTTTTTCATTTCACACTGTATATCTTCGTCCAGTTTGTCTTTTATAGTGGCATTTGGCGTATGCGACCAAGAATCAAGTATGTCAAATTTGGTGGAAAACGGTTCAGATATCGCTATAGCTCCCATTGTGTACTGTTCATCCGATTTGTTATGTTGCTGTCCCCCACGGCTGTAATATGCAATCCATAACAGTGATATTTACTATCAGATATCAGATACAGCGCAGAAATACCTATGCAAAAATTTATTTGGATATATCCGTATTTTATTTTATTGTTCACTTAATGGTTACTATCAGCCCAAATGGACCAAATTTAGTGAAAATAGTTTCAGATGTAGCTATCGCTTCTATATAAAGAAGATATTTTTTAAAATCTATAGGAATTTTTTTTCGAAATATACATAAAATACTGAAAAATGCTTGACATTTTTATTTGAATTGTAAGTATTGCCTATATAATTTGATGTTGGAAGATTATTTAATGCAAATGTTGACCGCGACTGCTCCTCAAATTGTCTATCCGCTTAGTATAATTTTGGCATACTCTTTACAAAATTTCGCATCACTGATGTGGGCTCGCCTGTACAAACATGAGCTTTAACATTGTCCCACAAAAAACCGTCTAAAGGCGTTAAATCACACGATATAGAGCAATTGACCGGTCCTGAACGTGAAATAAAATGCCCACAGAACTCACCTCTCAATAAGTCCATTGTTATGCGTGCTCTGTGGCATGTGGCACCGTCTTGTTGAAACCACATGTAACTTGGAATGATGTTTTTCGTTCGCAGTCATCATAATTTAGCCTGTAAGCAAACACGTCAAATGTGGTGAAAATCCGTTCAGATATAGGTATAGCTTCGTAAAATATTCTTCATACGATTTTAGTCTTCCGGAAATCGTGATATGGAATCTATAGCAATCATATTTGGTACGAGAAGTCACTGACAAAAAAATATACCTCCTTCAAATGTAGTGGAAATCAATAGAGCTTCCATATATTTTTAAGATTCTATCCTATCTCAAATTTATACAGGTCTAAAGCCGCAACACGCAGTCA